GTGTGGTCTGTGTGGTGGCGATCGGCCTGGCACTTCTATTGCTGCTGAATGTCAAGGAGGCGCTTGTGGGTCCGATCCCAAAGCTGATGCATGGTCATGATGAAGTCGTGTACGGGTTGGACTGTGGCTGATACTGTTGGTTTATGTGGCGTGAGGGGGTTGCGTCCGTAACAGAGGTAGGTGCAAGTCCCACTTGGAGATTTCGTCTTTGCATGCTGCGCGGAGGAGTTGCTCTACAATTTGGTTGAGACACTCAGTCCGTCCATCTATCTATGGATGGTAGACGGATAACATGGCGAGTTTGGTCCTGAGCAGAGACATGAGTTCCTTCCAAAACATGCTGGTCAACTTAGGGTCTCGGTCGGAGATGAGTGTGGTTGGAATGCCATGCTATGAGATGATGTAGCAAACAAACAGCTGTGCTGTCTCCTCCGTGCGTGCTGTCGTGTGTGTCGGGATGAAGTGTTCCGTTTTGGAGAATTTGTCGATGACGACGAGGATTGCGTCATGAAAGCTTGTGGAAATTGGTCACCCGGTGATGAAGTCCAGGCTAACCACTTGCCATGGCTGTTTTGGGACAGGAAGAGGCTGTATCGGTCCTTCCTTCTTTTGCTTGCTGCTCTTCATCCGTCGCACGAGGTGACGAATGTCTATACACCGTCTGCCATGTGGGGCCAGTTATAGTGCTTTGCAATACCGATGAGCGTCTTGTTGCTACTGAAGTGTCTCGCTACTGGTTCTCCATCGAACAGAGCACGGTGGAGCACTGCAAGTGGCACGCGCGGATTTTGCCCGCAAGCTGGATGCCTGCCGCTGTGCAGACGGAATCCCCTGTGCGAGACCCAGGCGAGGTGCAGCTCGAGTTGGAGGCCATGGCGGCGTGCATTCCTCGCCTGCAGCTCGGACCGGTCGCGATGGCAGCGTCGGAGTTTCTCGAGATCGACGAGAACCATCCGACTTGCGATCTCGAGGGTTCCGACCCTCCCGCCGTCGAGCCATCGCGAGCCGACCCGCTCCCCGCTGCTTGGGAGGCGCCGTTCGATGTCGCCACTTGCCGCGAACACACGAGGGCCATGAGGCACATCGCGCGCCGGGCCACGGAGATGCTTGTGGGCTATGCCCGGGCTACGGGCATTAGCCCGAACGACCTCCCAACAAACAACGCCACCCAAGCCCCCCCCACAAAGGCCCACCCTTTTCGTCGTGTGCTCGTGCGAAAGCCTCATTTGTCCGTTGCGAGGGCATGCAAAATACTTGTGCGATTGAATCCCCGACACCCTCAAATCTTGTGCGACTCTGACGAGCTTCGTCTGTATTGACGGATGTCGCTGAGCAGTAACCGAACGATCTGTGTTTATGTGGGGCTTTCTACTCCGAAACTCGGCAGGGAATGTGTTATGGCTGGAAATGCACACTCATTGCAACGTGGTGTGCGTGACAGCAAGGCATGAAGAATTTAAGGCCATTCAATATTGGTTTGTGTTACTGTAGTGAACACTCTATTCGAATCCACACGTTCGAGCTTACTGTATTAGCCCGGATAGAAAACTCATGTGACTTATCACGTACCATTTGAAAAAGGCCCAAGAGTGTCTTATGAACGGGAAAAAAAACAATATGTATGAGGGTCTTATTAACGCAACCATCATAACTTCACCGGACCAAACAATGAGTAGTTACATCAGATGTCTGGCAACCGTTTTCATAAGGAAGATGCCACTAAGGAACTGACATTTTTTGGGATAAGGGTTTAGGCACCATTGGGCACGCGTCATGCAGCAAAGGAGGAACGAGGGTGAGTTGGCGGGCATTTTGCAATCCTCCTGCCACTGGATGTCGCATTTTGACCATCCCAACCGTTTATCTGGCGTAAGCTCACACATATCCAGGGGGCTTGATCCGTTTCCACTTGATGCGTCAGCAAAGTGTCCTCAGCGATGACAGATTCATCTATGAGGAATCACGAAGTGTCTTTGTGGCAGTGGTGTTGGAGCTGGGTAGACCCCCTCATTTGCTCATTTGCAGCCCAAGGTTCTCAAAAAATGTGTCAGTTTGCTGTGCCTCAACCAGCCGTGCCTTAGCCGCCCGTGCCTTAGCGAGACGTGTAGCAAGCATTGTCCGCCATGGAGGGAGACTCATGGTGGACGGCGCCCTTCAGGAGACAATACACTGTACACCATCCCGGATGTACGTCAACATACTTGCCAGGGTTAAATTCCCTAGCAACACCATCAATGGTAGTGTCCCGCTTGTCAGAAAGGCCTCTACAAGTCGTTCTCCCCATCGCGATCCTCCCCCCACGACTTCTAATGACGATGTAGAACGTGGGAGCGCCCATGCGGACGGCTCAGCATGCAACGCCGCTGCAGCAGGCGCTGCTGCAGGATGCAACCAACCAGATGCGGATCGACCAGCTTCCTCAAGCCGCAGACCTGGAGAAGGAACGTGTGACTGCGCTGCTTGACGCGCTCTACTTCTGCTGCAAAGGCAACAAGCCGATGGAAAACTGGATCAGGCTCGTGCGCTACCTCAGCAAACGTCGGCACGAGCACTTCCCCGAGCAGACCTATGGCACGTACTACAACAGGTATTCTTGTGTGTTGTATGAATTTGTTTTGCATGCATCTATCATGCATACTTCAGTTACCTGTATACTTCAGTTAATGTTCATATTTCAGCATACTAATTATCTGTATGCCCTTGGCTACTTCAGTTATGGGTACGGGGAGTTCACACAGTCCATGGCAACCTGGCTGTAGACAACGCAGTTGGACCACCTTCTGAGGAGCCCGTTCATCGGCTTGAGCATCGATGAGAGCACAGACCGCTGCCGCGGCAAGCACCTCATCGTGTATGCGCACTTCATCCGCGAGAACCAAGTCGTCTGCGAATACCTGGCCCTGCTGAGCGTCGACAAGGCCGACGCTGCCACTCTGCTCGCTCTACTCCTGTCTCACATCAGCGCCATCGGTGTCGACCTCCGGTGGGTCGTGGGCATAAGCACCGATGGCGCTGCCGTTATGATGGGGTCGAAGGCTGGGCTTGTGACGCGGCTGCGGATGCAGATTCCGCACTTGGTGTCGTGTCACTGTATTGCGCACAGGTGAGCGTTGTTGTTTACCGCTACTGTACCTCGGGTTAAGTGCACTGGTGGTTTCCACATGTGCAATGTGTATTACCCCACTCCCAAGGCCCAACATGTACCAATGTTTTTTCGTTTTATCCCACCCTCCAGAGAGGCCCTGGCAGCTAAAGCAGCGGCGGAATCCTTGCCAGCGTTCAAGATGATTGACGATGTCGTCAAGGAGCTCGCTGAGTACTTCGGACGATCCAGCCCATGGCACCAGCGCTTCTTGGACCTGCAGGAAATCTTCACCTCGACGAACCTCAAACTTCAAGGCATTCATAACATCCGATGGCTCTCCCGCGGTGAGGCTGTCCTTAGGTTAGTCAAGGTTCTACCCGCCATCGTCGTCCTGCTCTCGGAGTGGACGGATACCCGGCTCTCCAGGATAGTGACAAGCTACCGCTTCTGGTTCCTTGTCATGTTCCTTGCTGACGTACTGGAGCAGCTAAACATCCTCAACAAGACCTTCCAGGAGCGTCAGGTGAGATTTTCTTTATTGTCACATTGAGTCGTTACTAAACCACCCTGGTGCTGTATATATACATGTTCCCCTCCCTCCCCTCCCCCTCTTCCCCGCCCCAACCTCAGCTGGAGTACTCGGCTGTCCACGCGCAGATCATCCGCACAACAACCCTGTTGCAGAGCCGCTACGGGGACGCGGACGACTTCGGCGGGGGACCGAAAGACCGCTTCATCATCTTCCTCACCCGTCACGGGCCGGGCGGTTCTCGCGAGGTCACAGCTGAGGGTGTCGACTCCGACGGTCGTCCGGCTTCCTTAACCTTCGTGCTGCATCAAGATCGCTTGCCCAGTTATCCGGGGGAGGGCGATCACGACGCGTGCCAGGATCTCTGTATGGCCATGGCGACAGGCATGGTGTCGAACTTGAAGGAGCGGCTGGGTGATCTGGAGAAGCTCTCTGGCTGCCACCTCTTCTCTGTCAACCTCTGGCCCCCTAACTGGGAGAGAGCTGCACGCAAGGCCCAATGCCTTGACTGGTTTTTCTCCCTTGTTACTCTTTTCCGTGCAGATGAGGCAGAGGAGATTCTTCCTGGCATTGACAAGCGTGCAGCCATGAGAGAGCTGCCTCATTTCTGCCCTGTCATTGCTGCTCTTCCCCAGGCCGACCGAAGCTTTCACGCCGGGCTCACGGCCATGCTGAAGACACCTGACAGGCAGGATTCCTACCCGAACCTGATGAAGCTGTGGATGGCGGTGGCAGTGCTTCCTCTCAGCACTGTGGAGTGCAAGCGCGGATGCTCTTGGCAGAATGTGATTAACAGCTGGCTGCGTGGCAGCCTTAAAGATACTAGGCTTAGTAACCTCATGTGCATGTCACTGTTAGACTATGACCCGGATTATGATGCTGTGGTGGAGATATGGCGCGCTTACAAGAAGCGTAAGCCCTTCAACAACACCCCTCAGGCCAAGCAAGACGGCTCGAAGAAGGGAAAGGGAGTAGCAGGAGAGGCAGAGTGGGGTGTAGGTAGTAGTGACAATGTGGACGATCTTGATAATGTTGAGTAAAGTTCTTTGCTTCTCAATTTCCTCTTCATTTTGTTAATCAGGGAAAAATAGCCATCTATCTCTGTCCATTCAGCATTTTTGTCCCACACAATCCTGACCGCTAAGCAAAAAAAATTGGGGACCTCTGAAAATTCAGGGAAAAAACCACGGGTAGTCCTTTGCAATCAGGATGACTTAAAACCAATCTGAGGCCCTGGTACGATCGCTCTGCTCGGGGAGGCTGGAAAGAAGATTTTGGTTCCTGATGTACTCTACGTCCCGGGAATCCAAGTGAATTTGCTTTCTGCAAAGGTGTTTTAGAATGATAATACCGTGGGTTGGTAATCAACAAGATACTCTGAATGATGTTACTAAGAATGGCTATCATGAATAGAAAAACGAGTCCCAAGTTGGACCTAACCCCGAGGAATTGAGTCAACAACTCCTCTTATATTGAGAAGTGAATGCATAGCAAAAAAAAGAAAGAGTACCATATTACTAGTCAAGAATCATAGGGAAAAGGGAAACACACCCGTATCGAGGGCCCTGAACCCATCACACGTGTAGTCAACCACTATAGCAGGTCCCAAATTAAGCACCCCCACGAGCAGATGTATTTCTATGCCAGGTTCATTTCTTCAATAGCCATGTAGTGCCAACTCAGTACCCCTTAGTGGGCTTCATCTGCAGCCAGCTCTTCACGCCCTCCGTGATCGAGCCCATGCTCGTGAATGAGCCCCCACCACCGTGCGAGCGAGACATCCACGACTCCCTTCCTCCCATTCCAGACGTCACGTCAGAATTCATCTCTGAAGACGCATCATCCTCTCCGGTTCCGGTGCTCGAACTCCCTTCTTTCGCCGCAGACTCCCACTCTTCCTCCTTGTCGGGGCAGTGCTTGTCAATGAGGGCGTTGAGGCGGTACGCCACCTCCTTCATATCGGGGCGCCGTGTGCCCGGTGCCTTGATGCAGTCCAGAGCCAGGTCGGCAAAGTCCACTATGGAATCCTCACCAGCCTGCAGCTTGCTGTCCTTGAGCTCGTCCAGCTCGTACGCCTCCACCAGCTTCATTGCCTGCACCGTGCCCAGGCAAGGCAGCATGACAAATAGGAAAGTCAGTGCATGGAAGCGTGGCAAAGAGGGAAGGCGATGCAAGGCAGCATGATGAGGAGGGAAGAGGTGCAAGGCAGCATGATAAGGAGGAGGGCAATGCAAGCAGCATTAGGGCGGGTCCAAATAGTTCAATTGGGGGTTTTGGACAAGTTTCTACAAACTCGGGTACGACAACTGAAGACGATCCCAAAATCGTTTCCCCCCCAAACCGCGTCTCATATTGCGAATAAAATAGAAGCTGGCGCCAACTGGGTGCGTCCCAAAAAACGGCTTGCGTCAGACGCCCCAAATCGCAGTTACCAAATGTCGCAGCTCGCGAAACAGATATTTCGTGCTGGGTTAAGTGGCAGGTGCGATTTGGCGTTGCGCCACGCGAGATGTCCGCGAGGTCGCCTTGTCCTCGCCAACCCCGGCTTGGCGAAACCCCAAAGCGCCACACGTGTCCACCGATACCAAAACGTATACCTAACGTCACCGAATCGTAAACAAATCTTGACTGGGGTTCATGTGCATTCACATGCATCGAGCGTCCCGAGTTACGGCAATTTTGCGCACGTGTCCTCGCGAAGTCCAAACGAGGTTAAAATCGGGTTACTTTTCACGAAATGAATAGAATATGAACTATTTGGACCCGCCCTTAATGATAAGTGAAAGCGACAATTTCAGAAACAATGTCAGGGCCGAATTTGATATGGGGAGGGCATACCCATTCTCTGATGTGGGACTTCTTGTGGACTTGGGGCGGCTGTCCACTCAGCAGCTCCAGCAGCACGATGCCAAAGCTGCAAGCAGCATCCAAGAGAATGGACATCAAGAGAACGCACCCTTTGAAACAGCTGAACTTTAATGCAAAGAAGCAACACGTACAAGTTGGAAACAGTTAAGCATTACTGGCACAGTTTCTCGTGAGCTGCAAAAGAGAGACCCATGCAGACCTGAAGACATCACTCTTGGCAGTGATAATGTTGGTGCGGTTGTAGTCGGGGTCCACATAGCCGGGAGTTCCCGCCACTCGAGTCGCATCCGCATCGCCATGGGTGAGCAGCTTGAGCAGCCCAAAGTCAGCCACCTTGGCATTCATGTCGGAAGTCACAAGGATGTTGGCCGGCTTGATGTCGCGGTGAACAATGGACCTCTCAAACCCGTGCAGGTACGCCAGCCCCTCCGCTGCTCCCTGCGCCAGGCGCAGCCTCTGGCGCAGCGTGAGCGGGTCTGGAGGAGGGGAGAGGTTAAGGGAAGCCAGAAATTGTTATACGCCTTGTTACTATATGCTAAATAATGCAAAGCTCGCAATCTTCAGGTGTGATGCTACTGTGCTGGAGCAACTCACTCTTGGTCTTGTAGATGTGGTACTCCAGGTCTCTGTTGCCCACAAACTCGTACACCAGGATCTGCTCCTGCTTGCCCGTCTCAAGGTTCTGGTCCAGACAAAAGCCCAGCAGCCGCACCAGATTCGCGTGGTGGAGAGACGCCATGGCTCGCACCTGCAGGGGAAAGCAGAGAAAGCTATAAAGGAACAACGAATGTAGATTCCAACAAGGACCATACAACGATGCTTCTCACTACAGCTTCAACTCTCTACTGCCAGATTTATGCTAAAACAAGAAATGCAGAAGATAAGCAAGGCCGCTAACAGTAAGCAAGGTATGCGAAGGGACTAGAGGGGCTGCTAGCAGCACTCAGGGTAGGGCCTCACCTCCGTTTCAAAGTCGTTGGTCATGACAGTGGACCGCTTGATAGCCCACGGCTGCCCCTGCGGCGACACACCCTGGTAGACAATGCCAAAGCCGCCCTTGCCGAGCACGTTCTCCTTGGACCAGTTGTTGGTTGCCTTCACCATCTGCTGCAGCGTGAATTGCTCGCATACATCCAGACCCTCCCACTTCTCTGCGCACACAAGAAAGGTGGAGAGAAGGATGAACGAGAGGAAAACACGCAGGGAAGGTGGTCACCCCGAGGGTGCGGATGAGCGAACAGGGTGCAGACCCTCCCACTTCTCTGCGTGCATGCGAAGTACAAAGAGAAGGGTGGGCATTGCCCATGATCAAAACGCGATTGCGATTTAAATCGCATCGCATGCAAGTGCGATGTTTAAAAAAACGATGCGATTTTAAATTGCATCCCGCGATTTATTTTAAATTAAATCGCGCGATATTAATTCATCGCATCGCGCGATGATTTAAAAAAAACAAAACAAAAAAACAAAAACAAAACAAAAAAAAAAACATCGCCATCGCAAAAACGCGATTAAATGCGATGCGATGCGATTTTTTTTGCCCATGTCTAGTGGGCAATGGGAATACAGGGAAGGAAAAGGCAGGAACGAGGGTTAATAAAGGGTGGGGATGAAAGGGGGGGCAGATGAGTAGATGATTAGACAAGGCAGCAGGACAGGACAGAAGAGAGGCAGAGGGGTGGTACAGGGATGGCGACAGGCAGAGCAGGGGGTGCAGGGAAGAAGGCCGGGAAAGAGAGAGAGAGAGAGAGAGAGAGAGAGAGAGAGAGAGAGAGAGAGAGAGAGAGAGAGAGAGAGAGAGAGAGAGAGAGAGAGAGAGAGAGAGAGAGAGAGAGAGAGAGAGAGAGAGAGAATGGAAGCCCGAGAGAGGGACGGCATGGCAGCAGGGTTGGGGGTCTCACTTTGGCCGCGAGGCCACAGCAGCCATGCGAGCACAGCAGCCAGCAACACGAAGCCAGCAAAGCAGCCCACAGCAATGCCCACTATGGCGCCCGTGGACAGAGAGGATACTGGTGGCAAAGGGGGAGAGGGGGTGTGGGGGGTGGGGGGTGTAAGTCGGAAGGGAGAGGAGGAAGAAAGGGGAAACGGGGGTGAGTGGAGGTGTGACAAGGGAGTGGTGATGCCTGTCAAAGGATGATTGCATGGAATGGCTGTCAATGTAGCATTGTCTAGAATTGGCATGCAACAAAGAAACAGTGGAAGGGTGAAAGGATTGATGAGGTCTGTATAAGAAAATCCACCTGGGACGGCTGTCAACAAATGAGGCTCACCAGTGATCAATGAGGCAAAGAAAGAAGGGCTCACCAGTGGTGGTGGTGGAGTTGACAATGGCGCACGTGGACCCGTTGCCTGCGTCGATGGCAGAGTACCCGGCGTCACACTGGCACGTGAAGTTGGAGGTGGAGGCCGGTGCAGGCGGCACACACGCCCCATGGCCGTCACACGGGCCGTTGTCCGTGATGCTGCAGAACGCATGGCAGGCTGCCGCACTCCGCTGGGTGGCATTGGACACACAGTCTGCATCCGGGCTGAGGGTCAGGCAGTTGCCCAACAGACTCACTCTCGCCCCCTGGCCTGCACCTGCTACAGAGTAATCTCTTATGCTTGAGGTTACACTGCTGATGCACTTCCCTGCAAACGAGTCAAACGTGTTTCCCAGGTCCAAGCTGTTAGGATCAGTGATCTCCATGGGGCAGACCTGGCAGCCTGCAGCGAAGAGCACCGCATCGCCATAGAAGTAGTTGTGAGCCAAGTTGATGAGGGCGTTCTCTGGTGCCATGTTCTTGAAGTTGCGGTTGATGCGCCCGTACAGGCTGTTGCCGCTCACATCTCTTTTGGGAGGGGGGTTGAGGGGGAGGGGGAGTGGTTGGGGTCAGACACAGGGTAAGAATGCTCGCGTTGCATGGCCGTTCTTCGGGTTAAGGGGGCATTCTTACCGTATTGTCAGCACCATACATAAAACCTGCTTCTCGTCGCGCTTTGCGCTGATCATACAGGATGTGAGTAGGCATGCAAGGTAGCCGTTTTGGTTGGCTCACATTTGGTTAATGCACTTGTTGAAGAGACAGTCTGGTATGGGCCCGTAGAGGTGGTTGTTGCTTGCCATGCTGCCAGCACAACACGCATTATGGAGCACCATAAGTCACACAATGGAGCACTAGGGTCACACCATGCAGCACCATGAGTCACAACATGGAGCACCATGAGTCACACCATGCAGCACCATGAGTCACACACTCACGAAATTGCTAAGGTACAGGGTTGAGGCTGGTTTTCACTCGTCCTTTCTTTACATCTCCCAAGATCATGAATGGTATGTACATGAAAATAACTTGTTGACGCAAACGACAGCCACTCACATGCGCCACAACAAGGGCAGTGAGCAGATGGCAGATGGCAGGGGGCCCTCGATGCCATTGTTGTCCAGCCAGCTGTAGGAGGAGGCAGTAAGTGGCAGAAGCAGGGGCAGGGGCAGGGGACAGGCATGGCCGAAGCACGAGGCAGGAAGGGACAGAAGCAAGCACATGTGGGGAAGGTGAGTGGGTGAGCCTCCAAGGGGGTCGTGACCAGGGGGGGTGAGACTTCAATGACTAACCGGCACAACGCTGGCACGACGCCGCAACCCCACTGTACAGATGCAGCTGCCGCTACTGCTTACGAATATCCTCACCCTGGCCCTGATGAGCTGAACTACTAACAGTAATGGCACACTTTGGCCTTAGCTGCTCCCTATTACCCCCCCTCCATCCGCCTGCTATGTGTATCTTGCGGTGCTTACCGGATGTGAAGTACCTAAACTCGTAAACAGTACAAGCGCGTTTTGAGAGAGAAACGAGCAAGGGGTGCGGGAGGGAGGGGGAGGGGGGGAGGCGGAGAAACGAAGGGAGGGGGGCAGGCAAAGAGGGCAGGCAGAAAGGGCAGGCAGAGAGGACAGGTAGAGAGGGCCCTCACATCTGTTCGAGATGCTCTAGGCGACTGATGGCAGACGGCAAACTGCCGCTGAGATTGTTGCTGGCCAGATAGCTGCACGGGTAGTGGAGGGGAGAGATATTGCAGAGACTGGTGGGGTAAGGGAGAGCAGTGAGGGGAAGAGGGAAGGAATGCGCCATAGTGGTACAGTCGTGTAGGACGAGCGTTTCACCCCTTACCCTTAGTGAAAACAGTGCAAAGATGCGGTTGAATTGAACCTTCATGGCCACAGGAGGCTTTCAGGGCAGGTTTGTGGTACAACACAGGGCTGTCCTAAGCCATTTGGGCACAAGAGGCTCACAGGTTTTTGAGAGTCGTCATGTTGAAGATGGCAGCAGGGATGGAGCCTGTCAGCTGGTTGTTGTTGAGACCGCTGCAGGGCATGGGAAGGGAGAGACGTGGGAAGGGAGGGGGGCATGAGAAGGGAGGTGCAATCCTGCTGTTTGCTAGGAGGCAGGCTTCTCCTGGAGAGAGACTAGTGCCTGTCTAATACGAAGGACCATTCGAGAGAGACTACTCCCGAAACTACTCCTTGTTGGAAAACGGCATTCTGGCAATTGAACACCAAATAGGTGCCATTGTGTCAATACGTGGCAGCAACTAGTGTGATGACACCTGTGTAAATCGTAGAGTGCTTGTAGAAAAAACTCTTGGATTTAAAAATAGGTGGTAACCGGTTTCGGCTCGAAGCCTTCTTCAGACCACAGAGTCCTAAAGAAAAACAAGCACTACTTATACGCCAAAAGATGTCGCCCAAGATTCGCCTCGCGCGGGAAAACCGTCGCGGGGAAAATGGGGACGCAGCAAAAAAAAAACGAAATAAGCACAAACAGTAAAACTCTACTGTAGATTAGCACTAATTCGCAGAAACTAAAAAGCTTCCGATTCTCTTCGGCAGCCTCCACGCGATAATAGCTCTCCTTGAAGCGAAAGTGTCGTGTGACAAAGTAACGAGGTGACTTGAGTCGACTCAAAAGTTTCCCCAAGTGTGAACGGTCAACCAGCGGGTTGAACAAACATTTCAACACGAGGGGCCCACGTTTAGGAGAGTCGCGAATTGAAGAGGCGCGAGCGAGAAGTTCGTTGCGAGAGGCAAAAAACTTCACTTCACGTGTGTGGTAGGGCTCCACTTCACGTGTGTGGTAGGGCTCCACTTCATGTGTGTGGTAGGGCTCCACTTCACGTGTGTGGTAGGGCTCCACTTCACGTGTGTGGTAGGGCTCCACTTCGCGTGTGTGGTAGGGCTCCACTTCACGTGTGTGGTAGGGTAGCCATGTGTTGACGGGCATGTTGCAACTTGCAAGCACAGTAAACTCACAGAGCCTCGAGAGTGGTGAGGGTGGAGATGGAGTCCGGAATGGACCCGGTGAAGTTGTTGTTGTTGAGAGCTCTGAAGCACAACAGATGCCATGGGTGAAAGGAGGCAACAGCAAACCTGAGAGAGTTGCTCTGCTGCTACATCCAGCGGGTGCAATAAATGCAAATCGATGGCACGAAATCCAGAGGGTAGGATCTGAGATTAAGCAAAAAAATATTGCAGGAGAGGCGGAGGGAAGTATGGGGGGAGGGGAGAAAGGTGGGGAGGGAGGAAACGGGGGAAGTGAGAGAGGCTTACAGAAAAATGATGCTGACATTCCAAAGAGAGAAGTCTGGTAGGGGGCCCAAGAATCCATTTCCTCCCAAGCTACTGCACAGCGCAGAAACAGACGAAGGCTTTAAGAACAGAAGGTTGAGCACAACGAGAAAGGGTGGCTCCGCGGTGCCCTTGAGGGTGGGAGATGAGGATTCTGCCCCAGCAGCACACACTGGTGGCTACACACAACAGTGGCGACACTGCTTACAGCGTGACAAGAGAGGTTGAGGCTCTGAGAGTCTTTGGAAGGCCGCCAGAAAGGAAGTTGTTAGCCACTTGCCTGGAAGGAGGGGAAACGGAGGGAAGGGGTGGTTCCATGCAAGTGTTAGAGATGCACGGAAGTAGCCCACACACGTGCATGCAACTTGCGTACTCTGACTTCCACCGTTGCATTAAAGAAGAGGGTGCAGCAGAGATAATGTGCTGGATTGAAGAGAAGGAAACCGAGCAAGTGCACCAGAGATGTGGAGAGCTACTCACAGTGAGTTCAGCAAGGGGAGTTTAAACACGCCGACAGGGATAGTCCCATGGAATTTGTTGTCATCGAGATTACTGGGCAAGGGTTTCAAGACCGGCATCACAAAATTTTGTTAGTCTCCCTAAAGGGTAAGGACGGAAAGAAAGGGCTTGCTAAGGGCTCGTTAAAGGCTTGTGAGCTCAAAGCCTTTGTCTTGGTTGGGGAGTTCTTTGCTTCTCTCTCTCTTGCCCCGTTGCTTTCAATCAATGCACGTTAAAGCGATGGGACAGGAGAGAGAGAAGAGAGAGACACCCCTTTCAATCCCCAAGCAGGACAAAGGCGCGCTCACAAGTCTTAAACAAGCCCTGTGCCCAGCCTTTTTTGTTGCGCACCAGCGAACATACTGCACCCGCTAGTATCAGCGCCACTCACATGTCCTGCAGGGTGGTGATGGCAGCCAACTTGTCGGGGATGATCCCAGAAAAACTGTTGTTGCTCAAGTCCCTGCCAGCGCCATTGCCATTGCCATTGCCATGTGAGATGTTGAAACAATTATTGCTGGTGGTAGTACTGGAAGGAGTGTGCATTACAATTTAATCCAATAACTGCATTTTGTAACCCTTTTGCCTCCCGCCTTTGCCCCAGCCCATGAGTGCATGTCTTACAGGAATTCAAGGCTCTTCATCTGCAGAACAGGCAGGGGGAAGGTTCCCGTGAAGTGGTTGTCACCAATCAGTCTGAATCAAGCAACAAGGCAGGTGGGGTAGGTGGAGATGATGACATAGAGGGGGCATATGCATGAATAGACACGCACACTCATACAGAAGGGCATATGGGAAAACCCAAATGCTGGTAGGTAGGTGAGAAGAAGGTGCTGCTGCATGCATGAGGTGAGAGGTGAATGGAGCACAACATACAAGAATGAGAGGTTCTTGATTGCTGTGAGGGACGCTGGAAGCACACCAGAGAAGTTGTTGGTACTGAGGTCTCTGCAGCGAGGATTCAAGGGATTGGATCAGCAATGACTTTTGAGTCGACTCAAAGGTCAGCAATGGATTGAAGCAAACGCAAGGGGAGGAGGCGAAGGAAGGCGGAAGCAAATGGGAGGTGGGAGACAAGAGGCATTTGAGGTTGAGGTGGGAAAGAAGGGAGGCCGCTCACATGCTTATGAGCCATGTCAACTGAAACAGTCGCTAGCTTACGCGCCATGTCACCTGAGTCACTCACATGATTGTGAGCCATGTCATTTGAGCCACCACATCCAGGCCTGAGCTGAGGCTGTTGTTACCAACGTCCCTGTCATGCGGAGCCGGCACACACGTCAAAGGCAACAATGAGAAAAGGTGAGGCTGGTTGAATAAGGAGGAGCAGTGAGCAACCATTAGCGTGGTATGGTCTATTCCCCTGGATAGGATAAGCCTGGTATCCTGATGTACCCTGCAGGTAGGTATAACGACACATTTTAATTATCATAATACAAATTCGGGTGATCTCATTTCAATCATGTGACATCAGCTTCCTCTCCCTGGTACTTCGGCAATTGATCTTTCTTTTCTTTCATTTTATTCAATGGTGCAACAAAATTTCTGCTAATGGAGATTTCCTTGGGGAATTGCCATTCGGTTTGAAGGCAGTTAGGCACAGAAAGGACCAACGACACCAAGGAGAGGCTAAGGGTGGAGTGCAATGAGGAAAGAAGCATACAGAGAACCCATGTTCGTAAGCCTTGTGAAGGCGTTGGGAATGCCTCCTGTGAACAGATTGTTGGACAGTTGCCTGCAGCAGGGGGGCAACCCGACCAGCAGGAAAAAGTGCGCAGAGCAGCGCGATGGAGCAGGCAATGGCACAGATATAGAGGAAGGAGATAGCAGAGGCGAAGCCAGAGGAATGGAGCCAGGAGGAGAGTGCAATCAAGAGGGGGGGGGGGGGGGGGGGGGCGGGCAAGGGGGCCAAGACAACGGGAGGTGCAGAGACAAGTGCATGGTGTTTGTGAACACAGATGAGGCTTACAGACTAGAGAGGCTGGGCAGTGCGAGGTGTGGCGGGATGTTTCCAGTGAAGGCATTGTAGCCAAGGGATCTGAAGAGCCAGGACATGTGAGGCAGGACATGTGAGGTAGGACATGTGAGGTAACATAGCTCGTTTGAACAATGCATGCATCCAAGGAACACACATATATGGCAAATTGTTTCAAGGGAGGTCTGACGATTGGAAAGCCGGGGAGAGTAAGGTAAAGGGAAGCGTGAGAAGGCGAGGGAGGGACAAGAGGATGGGCACAAGGGTATGGGGGATAAAGAGAGGAGAGAGTGAGGCATGGAGGAAGGACGGACGACGAGGGATTGATGGTGAGTGTGAGAGAAGGGAGGCGGGATGAAGAGATGAATAGGGAGGGAGGAATGGAGCGAGACAATAATAGGAGAGAAAGAGAACAAGAGCATGAGAGAGCACATGCAATAGTGAGGGGAGCCTGGGGATGTACAGAGAACGAAGGGGGCGGTGGGGCTGTGCCATGGCTTGGGAGGGTGGGACATGAGGTGGAGAGGAGGGAGACGCACAGTGTCCCAATGTTGGTGGTGAAAGCGGGAGGTATTGTGCCAGAAAGATAGTTCCACGAAAGGTTTCTGCAGTTCAGTTAAGGCGGGCAGAAAGAGCAATGGTTCACTGAGTGAAGAAGGGAGCGAGAAAGGGATGAGAAACGAGACAGGGGCAAAGCAGGGGCAAGCAGGGAGCTGGGGGATGGGAATAACACAAGAAACCTACACATCAACGAGGGCTGTTAGGGCAGAGAGTGTGGCTGGGATGGTGCCTTGAAGACGGTTGTTGTTTAATGTTCTGCCCAAAAAAAAAGGAACAGAAAAACAGGTTTTTCCATGTTGAAGATGCATGAGAGTGCTAGGATTGACAAATTGTTCGCAGCAGCATGGCAGCATGGCCGCATGGCCGCATGGCAGCACGGCAAGGCAGCGGGTGGCTCACAGGTATTCCAGGCTGACCAGAGTGGACCAGCTCTTGGGCAGGTAGCCCTCCAGGTTGTTGCCTCCGATGGATCTGCAGAGTTTATGGCAGCAAACACCGGAGGGACACCTGAGGTTAAGAACAACAAGGGGTTCACGAGAAACGCGGGAAGCAATCACAAGCGACATGCTTGCCCTGATGAATTTGGCAATGCACCAGCAAGCTGAGAAGCAAAGGCTGACGGAGAGATAAGGCACTCCCGTGTGCGTTGCACTCCCACGCTCTTTGCATTCTTGTGCTCGTTGCACCCCCATGCTCGTTGCACCCCCATGCTCGCTGCACCCCGCTGCACGCAGCACTCACAGGCTGGTGAGCGCGGTGAGCAGCGAGATGTCATCGGACAACAGGCCCTGCCGCCTTGGATCGTCCGAGTCCACATTCCTGCTCGTAAGAGAAGGAGCCTTCCACACTGAGTCAAGGCCGGATCAAGGTGGGTTCTAATGCCTCGTGCTGTGCAGTGGAAAGGAGAGGAGGCGTGTGGCAATGGCGAGAAACGGGGTTGGGGTGGGGGGAGAAACGGAGAGCTCACAGAGACTGCAGGTTGGAGAGGTGAGTGACCCAATCGGGAAACTCCACGGCACGAAGCAAGGAAAGTTTCCTGCAGGGAGGAAGGCAAGAAGAGGGGATGTAGGAAAGCCAATCTACGAGTGAATAGCAAGGGCTTCTCACTCATGTCACATGTTGAGAGGAAACAAGATTGTGTGCAGCAGAGGAAACAACATGCTTGGACTTGTGTGAAACTTACAGCGCAGTGAGGCCAGTCATGTATCGGATCTGCGTGGGAATCTCCCCCGTGGCATTGGTGAACGAGGTGACTGTCCTGCAGTCATGCAGATCAGCAAGAGTGATGCACACCAACCAGAAGCCAATCACGAGCTGAGAAGAACCATATCACGCGGTGACATGAACAAGAATACTCAGCATCGAAGCACGACGCCTGCCAGCAACCCTCTTACTGTACCCTCTTGCTTACAGGCTTTCAAGCTTTTCCAGGTGAGAGAGGATGTGCAGGGAGGACAAATCCCCTGTGAATTCCGCAAAGTAGCCAAGAAACCTGGAGGTGGCAGGGCGGTGAGACATGTGAGGAGCCCTAGGGTGGGCGGAGGGTGGGTGGAAGCATGGGGCTTCTGCATGCACGAGTTGCTGGAGCGATGCGCCGTGGAGCATTTGCGCGGCGAACACTGCTTGCAGGCAAACACTGCTTGCAGGCGAACACTGCTTGCAGGCGAACAGTGCTTGCAGGCGAACACTGATAAACTTGGCTTTCTTTCAAGGCAACACTGCTAACGGGGCGGACAGTGTTTGCAGGGCGAATGGCATTTAAGGCGTACAATGTCTGCAGGTTGGAGAGGGAGGAGAGCCATGCCAGTCCGTCCAGAGTGCCAGTGACCGTGTTGCCGTCCGTTCCAAGGGCACTGCGGCCACATGGAGCATGCAAATGAGCAATGGAACACATGCAGGGGGGAAGGCACATGTAGAGGGTCGATGGTAGCTCATGCAGGGGCCAATGGTAACGCGTAACGTGAAAAGGGATCGGAAGGTAGCACACGCGGAGTGCAATGCGTGGAATCAAGGCTTTATCCGTGAGCAAAGAGCAAGCTTGAGGGGCATGAATGAGGCTCAAGAGTGTAGATGAGATAGGCCAGGAAGGCACTGTATGGGCCTTGGTGGCTTGGCTAGGCCTTGTTGTCTTGTCCCATAGGAGAGGCACGTACAGGTGGGTGAGGCTGGTGAGAGTGGCGAGCGATGGAATGGTCCCCACGAGATTGATGTAGGTCAGATCGCTGCGGGGATGGGAAGGCAGGGAGCACAGGGAAGGCAGGAATGGCAGGGAGGGCCAGGAAAGAACAGTGCAGTGGAGAAGGCACCAGAAAGATGGGAAGATGGGAAGATGGAAAGATGCAAGACTCCTGGAGAGGAGATCGATGCCACTGGGTGGGTGGATCATAGTTGCTGGTCAGATCAGATTGGTGCATAGATGACGCAGGGAAGGCGAGGGAAAGGTGATGGTCAAGTGTGGAGTGGAGCGAGAGAGGGATGAGATGGAAAGCGGAAGCATGAAGCATGGGCATGAGGAATGGGTGCGACGACCATGTGAGTGCAAGAACAGGAGGAGCAAGGTCGGGCGGAGCATGGGGTAGCATGGGGAGGAAGGGGTAGCAAGGGCCAGTGGCACTCACAGGTGCTGGAGAGTGGCGAGAGTACTGATGGCGGCAGGCATGGCGCCCGTGGGAGAGGAATCCGATTGGGGAAACTCGTTCGAATCCCTGCCAACACCACCATGCATGCACGCACATACCAGTGCTCCCATACCAGGGCAGCAGGGAATGCAACAGGTGCGGGGAGCACTGCGGTGAGAGCACTGCGATGAGAGCACAGCGATGAGAGCACAGCGACGAGAGCACTGCGATGAGAGCACTGCGATGAGAGCACTGCGATGAGAGCACAGCGATGAGAGCACTGCGACGAGAGCACTGCGATGAGAGCACTGCGACGAGAGCACTGCGATGAGAGCACTGCGATGAGAGCACAGCGATGAGAGCACTGCGATGAGAGCACTGCGATGAGAGCACTGCGATGAGAGCACTGCGACGAGAGCACTGCGATGAGAGCACTGCGATGAGAGCACTGCGATGAGAGCACTGCGACGAGAGCACTGCGATGAGAGCACTGCGATGAGAGCACTGCGATGAGAGCACTGCGATGAGAGCACTGCGATGAGAGCACTGCGATGAGAGCACAGCGGTGAGAGCACAGCGACGAGAGCACTGCGACGAGAGCACTGCGATGAGAGCACTGCGACGAGAGCACTGCGATGAGAGCACTGCGATGAGAGCACAGCGTTGAGAGAGCACTGCGATGAGAGCACTGCGATGAGAGCACTGCGAAGAGAGCACTGCGATGAGAGCACTGCGATGAGAGGACTGCGATGAGAGCACAGCGATGAGAGCACTGCGACGAGAACACTGCGACGAGAGCACTGCGATGAGAGCACTGCGACGAGAGCACTGCGATGAGAGCACTGCGATGAGAGCACAGCGTTGAGAGCACTGCGATGAGAGCACTGCGACGAGAGCACTGCGATGAGAGCACTGGGATGAGAGCACAGCGATGAGAGCACTGCGATGAGAGCACAGCAACGGGAGCACAACTATGGGAGCACAGCGATGGGAGCACAGCACGTGGTGCACCAAATGAGGAATGATAAGAGCCATGATGGCCGATGATGGCCGATAAGGGCCGATGAAGGGCAATGCGGGGCACGAGGGGCCGTGAGACTCACAGGCCAACGACGAGGCCCTTGGGGCTGCACGTGACGCCCTTCCATGCCGCACACGCGGTGCTGGCGTTGCCGTTCTTCCCCCACGCGCCCCACGCCTTGTTCAGCTGCACCAGCGCGCTCACTGCCGGGTAGGAATGGGGTAACCGGGAGATGATGTAGGGGTGGTAATGGGGGTGATGGGGGGTCTAGGATGCGCGCACCACCATGTTGCTTCTTCTGCACGGGCGCGCTCACTGCACGCCGCTCGCAGCCGCAAAATGGGGGTAAAAGAAGGAATTCAGGCAACGCGTATCAGCGCATGCGCGTCGCAACTTGGGCCCGAATTCCCCACCGAAAGCAGGAGCTCCGAGCTCCGAAAACTTTGAAACACCAAGGTGGTCTTGGGGGTGGGGTTGGGGTGGCGGGGGGAGGGGGAGGGGAGGGGGAGGGGGGGGTAAAGGAGGGGGGGAAGGGGGAGATGGGGCGGTCAGCTGGACTTACATTGCGACGCCTCCAGAAGGACCGCCTTCCCTGCGGCGGCGGCGCCCGCGGTCGCCTTGGCGGTAGCGTCGACTCGCTTCAAGAGGGAGCGGCGCGCTCGGGCGCGGGCGGCGGCGGCGGCGGGGCGGGCGAGGGGAGCGGCGGCCATCCGCAGGCGCTGCTTCGGCGGCACGCGCCGGCCATGCAGGGGCAGGGAGGCGTGGTATTGGCGTGGGGGCGGCGCCGCCGCTGCCGCTGCCGCCGCCGCCGCTGGGCCAGCGCTGCCGGAAAGAGCTGCCAGACGATTGGAGGCGGAGAAGGCGCAATCCGCGGCAACAGTCAGCGCGAGGGCCGCGAGGGCCGTCAGGAGGAGCAGGCGAGGTGCGGCGGCGGCGGCAAAGTTGAAGCTTGCGAGGAGCGGCGCGGGCCACACCGCGGAAGGCGCAATGCGGCGCCGTGTGGCCGGGGCGCATCGTTCCGGCCGAGAACTACTAGGTGTGGCGCGCGGCATCGTTCCGCACGATCTGCAAGTCTAACGACTCAGACTGGCGGCGTAGCACTACGTGAGGAGCAGCAGTTCGGTGTTCGCGCGCCGCGCGGCTGTGCTTCTCGCGCCTCCCGCTAATACACTATATCACGAGGACGGGATCTCTGGAAGCAGCGTCACTGACGCTGGGACTTGAGGTTGTAACCCTAGTAGGCTGTCTCCGCTCGAAACAAACCCGAACCCGGGAAGCAAGGCTGCAGTGAAGTTGTGGGAGCCGATGCAGGGGAGAGCACAAGGTTATCGCGGGGGACAACAGCCTCACAACGCTGGGGTGCTTGTAGTGCTGCGGGGAGGGGGGGAAGTGGGGGGGGGGGGGGGGGGTAGTACACTGTACTGGCAGTACTACAGAAGTGTAGCATAGGTCGGGTAGGGCTCGACTCGACCTCGGATCGGAGCTGTCGCGGCCTATAGTGCAGCCCTCGTTCGTTGCGAGGCTCGCAGCTCTGTCATCATCTCGCGGCGAGGCGCTGCCGCGGGGTGCGGGGTGAGGAGAGGAGACTGTGAAGGTGATCGTCCCCCCGCGCGGAGATGGGGGCTTGAGGATAATCTCGCGCGTGGGGGGACAGAGGGGGGCAGGCGGGGGGGGGAGAGGGTGCGAGCCCTTGCGAAGGGCACCGGACGGAGCAGGTCAAGGTCAACTCAGGTCGCCGGCGCGGCGACATGGTGATGAGTGCGCAAAGTTTAGGGTGCAGCAGCAGCGTCGGATGGTTTGCTGGAATGGGGGTTGGGCACTTGGGGTTCATGGGATAGGGGAATGCCTTGGCATTACTGGTGAGTCGGCTGGGGAGGGAGTGGGAGAACGCAGTTCCTGCCTCGAGTGAAGGGCAACTCAGTCGTACCTAAAGAAGTTGGTTGCGACTTGCAAGCAGCATTTGTGCTGACCTGGTTCACTGTTACACGAGTACCTCCCTACACATATGCCCCTCGTAGGTTCAGAGCGGTGCTTAGAGTTCTTGAAATGTACAAAAGGTGACCAGTTCGGTCATTTGGGACCCAATTGACGGATGTCGCTGGGCAGTGACCGAACAATCACTGTTTATGTGGGTTGGGGCTTTCCACTCCGAAACTCGGCAGGGAATGTGTTCTGGCTGGAAATGCGCACTCATTGCAACGTGGTGTGTGTGACAGCGAGGCATGAAGAATTCGAGGCCATTCAATATCGGAACGTGTGACTGTATTGAACACTTTCTTCGGATCCACACGTTCGAGCTTACCGTAAGGTGACTCATGGGTCTTATCACGTACCATTTGAAAAAGGCCCGAACAGTACCTTATAAACGGAAAAAAATGTATGAGGGTCTTATAAACACAACCATCATAACTTCATCGGAAAAAAACGGGAGTAGTTACACCAGATGTATGGCAACCGTTTTCACCAGGAAAATGTCATTAACGGGCCGATATTTTTGGCGATAAGGATTTAGGCACCATTGGACACGCGTCATGCAGCTGTAAGAAATTGAAAAGTGGTGCTGGAGACAAAGTATAGAATCTACACCCACAAGTACTTGAAGTAGAAAGTAATGCTAAAAGTACCTCCAATAACAGCCAGTATTAACAAGTTGTAATACCAGAATCAATGCTACAGCCTTGTGATACTTCAACACTTGAACAAGGATCTTTGCTGGAATGGTTGACTAGTAAGACAACGGAAGTTTTAGAACTTTTAAGTGTTTGTCAACTTATACATATATTGCTATATAGAAGTTATAGACTAGATAGGTATATGCTCTTAGAGGATACAACCCCAACACAATATCTCTCTTGTTCTCTCTTCTTTCTTATTTATTCTAGCATTCTAACATGGAGCAGGAAATGGCATCTTGGAGTTCCACCGGCACCTACGTAGACGCAGTTCCCCCACCTGGGGTGAACGTAGTCGATGGTCGGTGGCTCTTCAAGGTAAAGCGCCCTCCTGGAGAGCCGTCGGTGTTCAAGGTGCGCTACGTTGCTAGCAGCTTCAGTCAGCGCGAGGGGGTGGACTTCTTTCAGACCTTCGCCCCGACCCCGAAAGATGACTACTCTTCGGGCACTGCTATACGTAGCAGCACAGCGTGACTACGAGCTTCACTCCCTCGACTTCTCCACTGCTTTCTTCAGGGCAGCCTACACGAGCAGGTCTATCTGCGCCGTCCTCGGGGCTTTACTAGTACCTTCCCTCCTTGGACCTAGTGACTCCTTCGGCGCCCAATCTACGGCCTACGACAGGCGCCCCGTAAGTGGCACGACACGCTGCGTGCTACACTAGCTGACCTGCAGTTCTTTCCGTCTTCTGCAGACCCCTCGCTACTCGTCCAGGCTGGCCAGACTCCGTTCTACATCCTTGTCTATGTAGACGACATGGTCTTCGCTACTGCAGACAGAGACGCGCTGGCCTCCGTGAAGGCCGAGCTGCTGAGGAGACACACCTGCACTGACCTAGGAGAGCTGCGCCGCTACCTTGGCATACAGATCTCCAAGGACAGAGCTGCACGCACCATCAGTCTCATACAGTCACACTTGGTGCGCCAGGTCCTTTAGAGGTTCGGTCTTCAGTTCTCCTCCGCGCAGCCCACACCTCTGCCAGTAGACCTCATGTGAGAGTACGACCCCGTTACACCGCTTGTCCCTTTTTCTCTTTCCTTTCTATTTCATCTCTCTTTATCCCATCTTATTTGGTTTCCTATTCTCCATTTTCCATTATCTTTTTGTTTATTATGTTATTATAGTTATATCACCGACCAGGCTTGGGATGTACTGGCGCGCTATATCTAGCGTAATCTTGACGTAATCCCTTAAAGCCATTAGCCTCGCGTGGCTATACGTAGGGTGATTCTGTTTTCTAGAAGGGTCTATTCCCTTGGATAGGATAATCCTGCTTACCTGATGTACTCTGGAAGTATAAAAACGCCTTGTATTCATCGATAATGCAATCTTTCCTCGACACATTCAATCATGTGACACCTCAGGCTCTCAGCTCCTGTTCCTGAGGAGTCAGTAGAGCCTAGTGGTCCTTACGCAGAGCTGGTGGATTGCCTCATGCACCTGATAAATTGTATTCGTCCAGATCTCGCATACCCTCTCAGCATCCTGGCTCGCTTTGTGGCCACAGGCAGACACCGACCGCAGCACTGGTCGGGCGCTAAGAGGGTTTTGCGTTATCTTGCAAGTACATTGGGCATGGGGCTAGTGCTGCGAGGACGCCGACCAGTGGTCCTTACTGGGCACAGAGACGCTTCCTGGGCAGACGACGGAGAGACCCTCAGGTCCTCCCATGGCTACTACTTTAGCCTTGGTTCATGTGCCATTTCGTGGAGATCCACTCGCTCCTCGTCTGTTGCTCAGTCCAGCTGTGAGGCTGAGATCTACGCCGGTGCCATGGCGGCACAGGAGCTCCGCTGGCTAACCTTCTTGCTCGCCGACTTAGGTGAGCGACCTAGCTCTGCCCCGGTCCTGTACGCTGACAACAGGGCCATGATCCTCCTGTGTCACGAGCCTCGACTCGAGGGAAGAGCGAAGCACATCCAGCTGCGGTACTTCCTCCTGCGCGAGCTCCAGCAGTGTCGCGAGGCTCGTGTTGTACACTTGGCCTCCGGTGCCAACACAGCTGATGTCTTTTCTAAGGCGCTTGCGCCTAAAGATCATCAGCGGCACTGTGTGTAGCTTGATCTAGTTCTTGTAGACTCTCACTTTCTAGGACCTTGATTGTGTACTCCTCTATATTTGTACCTTCTAGATTGGCCTTGTGGCTTCTCTTACAGTGGTCGGACTTGATGTGCCATCTTGGTTTGCTCTTGTCTTGTTTGTACTCTTGCTGACTGGTCTTCGGACCCCTACCTCACAGGTTGGACTAGTAGTGCCACCCTGAACTGCATGTTTCTTGCTCAGCACTACCCCTTATCTAGCCTAGGGGGTGTGTTAACTTATACATATGTTGTTATATAGAAGTTATAGACTAGATAGGTGTATGCTCTTAGAGGGTACAACCCCAACACTATATTTACCTTGGTCTTTCTGTCACAAAGGCTAGGTAGCTAGGAAGGGTAGGCGACCATGGAATGGCGTGAAGGTTTAGGCTAGGAAAGTTAACGAGAGAAAAGAGAGGGAGAATATAAGAGAGAGGCATACAAGAAGGGGGGTTGTACCCTCTATAGTTGGTTGTTATAAGACCTACCAAGCCTACCAATTATATAACAAAAAATATAATTTAACACTCTCTTCTTTCTTATCCATTCTAGCATTCTAGCAGTGTTGACCAGAATTTACTGAAGAACAAGGTAAGAATTGAAGTCATATAAGCTACTCTTATACCTGTTAGAAGTACCTGTTCGGCAATGCACTTGTTCAAAACTACTTGCGCTATACGCTCTAATCGCTACTGAAAGGGGCGCAACTGTTCGCGTGACTGAAACGACTTGCTGACGTAATCATCAAGACGAGCGCTATTTGCTGACGTCATTCTATGGATGCTAAGTACTGTGTAACTCGACAATATCTATCGGAACCACTTAAAGAAATGCTGCAGTACGATTTTATCACAACACTCCCCTTCATTTCTGGAAGTCCGATATTGTCACTTCTTGAGAATTCCGCAGGGTTCGTTGCAGTATTGGAACTTTTGACGTGTGAGCTTCTTGGTGAGGAAATCTGTAGCCATTTCATTGGTCGAGCAGTAGACCAATCGAAATCTCCCCTTCTCAACTTCATCTTTGACGAAGAAGTATCGTAGCGAAATGTGCTTCGTCCTGTTGGCGAAACCAGATTGGTGCGCAGTTTTGATTGCACTTTTGTTGTCGCACTGCAGGGTGAACTGTGTACTTGTCTTCAACTTCGCTTCCTCCAGTAGCTCTTGTAGATAGAGACCTTCGCGAGTAGCTGTGCAAGCAGCTATGAACTCGGCTTCAGTAGATGATAGAGCTACGAGCTCTTGCTTTGTAGAATTCCAAGAGGTAGTCCCAATAGGTTCGAGACGATAGATAAAGCCGGTGCAAGATCGACGATTAGAATTCTCTGCTGCATGATCAGCATCATCGTACCCGTTAAGATATAGAGTTTTCGTCGTAGTGACTTGATAGGTAAGTCCGACTTCAGGTGTCGAAATAAAATACTGTAGAGCGCCAAGAAGAACTAGCCGATTCTCCCTATCAGGTCGACGCATAAATTGCGCGAGCTGGCTAGCGGCATAGACGAGATTCAGACGACATGTTACAGCTGCGAATAGAAGACAACCCAGCTGCTGCTGATACAATTGTAGTTCAGTGCTATCGAGTGGAATGGTATCGGGTTTGTAGTCCGTAGGCAGAGATTGGTAAGGTGTGGTTACAGTTGAAGGTGTGAGGTTGAAGCGTGCGGCTAGTGTAGCGGTGTACTTAGAGGCGGTAAGATGAATAGTAGTGGGTGTGCGGTGAATGTTGAGGCCGAGAAACTGTGTGACTATAGGGGTGATAGTGATCTGTAGATGTTGTTGAAGTTTCTGTTCGAAGACAGTAGCAAGAGAATCGGTGGTGCTGATGTAGAGTAAGTCGTCGACATAAGCGACGAGTAAGATATAGTCAAGACCGTCGGTAAGTAGGTACATTCCTTGGTCGTGCGGTAACTGTATAAATCTGACAGATAGTAATTGAGCATGTAGATACTGCTACCATAGTCGTGGAGCCTGTTTAATGCCGTAGAGACACTTTCTGAGATGGCAGATGCTAAGAGGGTTAGTTTCGTAAGAATGCGGGTACTCAACCAGAATTAATGCGTTGACAAGTGCATAAGAAATGCATTGGCGACGTCGATTTGGCGAAGTTTGAAGTTCCGGCGGAGTCCA